CCCCAAAACCCCAAAACCCCAAAACCCCAAAATACCTTATAATTATTGAATATTATAAAATGGAGCCAGAGATTCCTGCAAAAGATGCCTATAATTTTGTGTATTTCACATTCCTTGCATTAGGAATGGCAATCTTACTGCCTTGGAGCTCCTTGGTAACAGCACTAGATTACTTTATTGTCAAACTCCCAGGTCATGATGTTGATTTCGTGGTATCAATCTTATCCAATGGTCCTTTCTTTGCTACTAATGTACTGATGATCATTTTTGGGAAATGGTTTGGAGTTAAAAGAGTGGTTGGTATTTGAATGATGCTGATGATGGTGCTCACCTTGGCATTACCCCTGATCCCACAGGTTGCTGGTAGTGAAGGTGCTTGGATATGGGTAGTCAGTATTATCATCACAATATCTGCAGTCAATGGAGTCATGCAGTGATGAGCGTATGGACTTGCGGGGTCATTGGCAGATCATAATATTGCAACATTAAACACAGGTATAGGCCTGAGCGGACTTACTGTAAGCATTGCTAGAGTGATATCTCTGGTTTTCTTCCCTACAGATGGAACATCAGAAAACGACAATTTCTTCTATGGTGCTATTATGTACTTTGCAATAGGTGGCGTTTTCTTGATTATTGGAGTAATCTTGCTTGTGATTCTTCCCAAAACAAGATATTATCAATACCATATTGACGAAGAAGAAGGTAAGTGGTCTTGATTAACTCTTTAATTTCTTAAAGATAAAGAATATCTGGCTTGCCTAGGACGTGGTGATTCTCCGGTTACAACTCCACTATTACCAGATAATTCATATAAAAACGTTGAATCATTCTCCCACATGATGAAGATCCACAATGAACTCTTAATCACTGGCTACGGGTTTACATTTATTTATATCCAGACTTTTTGAGTATATCCTGCTGTATTATTAAAAGGTAACCTTTCCTTCCTTACCTCAAAGTCTTGGGAAGTATGGCTTATCATCACTATTTTCTGCCTCATGGATACTATTTCAAGGATTATTTCTGAAAAATGGATGCTTTTGACACACAAGACTACAGCTCTCTTCACTATGTAAGTATTGCACTAACTTGTAGGCTCCGGTGGATCCCGATCATATTCTGATTCTTTTCAGCCTATGAGGTCCCTTTCTTCAGCCTAGATGCATTCAAGTTGATAAATCTAGTGATTATCGGGTTTTCGAATGGGTATATTGGTAACTGCCAGATCATGGTGAGTGTGGATAAAGCTAGTGCTGAAGAGAAAGAAATCACAGCCAAGTTCTTATCAGCATTTAGAATTTTGGGTGTATTAGTAGGAAGCCTGGTGTCTTCATTTGGAATCGTTCATATGTTTTAGAAATTACACTCGTCAATTTTGAAAATTCATTTTGGGGTTTTGGGGTTTTGGGGTTTTGGGGTTTTGGGG